GATGTGAGAGCACACGGATGTGAGAGCACATGATGTGAGAGCACATGATGTGAGAGCACATGGATGTGAGAGCACATGGAGGTGAGAGCACATGATGTGAGAGCACATGATGTGAGAGCACACAGATGTGAGAGCACATGGATGTGAGAGCACATGGATGTGAGAGCACATGGGATGTGAGAGCACATGGATGTGAGAGCACACAGATGTGAGAGCACATGGATGTGAGAGCACATGGATGTGAGCACATGGGACAAAGGTGTAGAATATTTGTATCGTAGAATCATAGAATCACGGAATGGTTGGGTCGGAGGGGACCTCAGAGATGACAGAACCACAGGACAGTTTAGGTTGGAGGGGATCTTAACGATCATCCAGTGCCAACCCCTGCCGTGGAGAGGGTTGCCCACTGTACCAAGGCTGCCCAAGGTAGAAGCAGGGCAGGGACCTATTGGGGCTGTCGTGCCACACGTCGGCACCCACTGCCTCCATCCTGCAAGGGAAATCCAAAGGGATGTGGGTGGCAAGATCAGACCTGATTACTTCCTAAGACTCGTTCTGTAGGAGGAAGGAACCAACCACTGAGCCGTGGGCTCGCTTCCCAAGCCCAGGGCCCACACTGCAGGGCCAGGGCCAGGGGTGACAGCCCATGGGGAGCAGCCCAAGGACACTTCTTCCAGGAGGGATTCAAACTTCTCGCCGGCACCTTTTGCTGCAACCTGGTCCTCATTATTTCTTCATTAACATATCCCAGAAATCAATTAGCTGCGACATTTCTAATTAAATACTACTGGAGATGATCATCTCATTATTATTATCTGCTGAGGTGAACAACTCGATGTGTGAGGTGGGTTTTTGCCTTCCCATTTCTTCCAGTTCCCCAATTATAGGAAATAATAAATGCAAATGGTTGGGTTGTTCTCGCAAACCCAAGGCTCCTTTTGTACATTAGGAGAGTCGAAGAGATTAATTAGCTATTAAGTGAATGTGTATAATGTTATCATTAGCTCTTTTTTGGCACAATTTGCCGTCCTAATAAACAGTACTAATGTGCTATCGCTTTTCCAGTGCCATGCTTTTCATTTCCCAGGCTGTACCAAGAGTTAAGCTCCACGCTGAGTCAACTTTGTGATCGGAGCCCAGTTGCCAACCTTGAGCTCCTGGCCAAAGCACAAGAAGGGCAAGGACGTTTCCCAACAGTGACAGCAGTGATTTGGATGTGCCATGGTGAAACCATAGGCTTTGCAGGCTGCTGCTTCCCCAAAGGTCAGCTTGGTGTCTGCAGAACAGTTCTGCTGCTTTTGCACGAGGGTCCCAATGTTGCAATGGCTGTGGGAGCTGCAGAAGCTTTGGTGGAGACCTCTGGACCTCGTGGTGGGGACACGGCCAAGCTGTGCTGCCCAAAGGGGACCAGGCATCCACCAGAATGTGGGGAGCCTCCTCCTGCACGTGCCTTGTGCTGCTCCCAGGGCAGGGGACGGACCAATGGACAACAAGGGGACAGGCAGTAGGGTTGGAGCCCAACTCCAAAGCTGGGTTTCAACTCCGCTGCCCATATATATATACATATAAAAGTATAAAAAAATATTACATATATGCAATGCACCGATAGTCAGCACAATGTGGTGGGAGATGTAGAGCCAACCCTCTTCTCTCCAGCCCAATAGCACGCCCCACAAGCACTGCTGACACACGTGGTAGGTACTCTGCAATGCAACGGCCATGGAGGATTTTGGAGATGTTTAGGAACTGTGCAAGAAGAGCCCCTTTGCTTTCCAAATGCCAGGCTGAGCTGGAAGAACCAAGAGCTTGGGAAAGGCTGGGTCAGGAGGCAGAAGAGTCTTCCTCAGCAGAAGCTATCCATCCCATCTTCTGATACACGAAATAAGACAAGTTTGATGGGATTGGTAGAGGACATGACAAACCCGGGCTCATTTAGACTGATTGTCACCTGTTGGGCTGTGCAGCTGGGTTTGACCCGAGCCGTAATCCCCAAGTGCTGCTCTTCTGACATCCCTGAGGCCACTCCTTGCCCACGGAGCAGGATCTCTCTCTCCCATTTCATAGGGCAGCAGGTATTAGGAACCCTGCAGCCTGCTCTCCTCCAAGCAGCGCCGCTGGCATTGCATGCTGCCTGCTCACCCCCCGCCGCACATCACTCGCTCCATCTGCAGACCCTGCAGGTAGCTGGAGTTCAGTAGCTTTGATCAGTAATTACGATGCAAGACCAAATCCTTGCACAAACCATCCCACTACAAAGCCTCGGTCACTCCCCTCCCCGAAGAAGAAAAAGACTGAGATCAATGAGTTTTGCAGCATTGCAGCAGAACGGCTGCGGCAGCAGCAAAACCCACCTTGGAGGCTTCTGGTCCACTCAGCTTTGGGCTCAGTTACACCACCAGAGCCAGCACGTATTGAAGCATGCATTAAGCACGTGCTGACTGTACATTCATCTGATCTAGTGCATTAGAAGGACTCTGCTGGGTCAAATCCAGCTGTCCCTTATGCAGGTGGAAATGCAGAACTGCTCCATGAGCTCAGCATTCCCACTGGCGCCAGGGACCAGGAGGTGTCCTTATCAGTAGAAAGGATGGGGAGAGCACTGCTGGCCTCTCCTCCCCTCCAAGCTGGTATGGATGTCCACAAAACTCTCATTTTCAACGTGCAATTATTCGATCCACACCAGCATGGGGACAGAATCTGCTGTGCAGCTCCCACTCCCATACATTGCAACGCATCCTTCAGTATACATTCTCTGTCAGTGTACATTTGGTTTCCCCTGCTCCCCCCGCCCTCCCCCAGCCCCAATGAATTGGCATTGGCACGATGGCAACCATTGCATTTGGCCGTGCTCATCACCACCACGCCTCGAGCCCCGTCATGATCTCAGTGGCCACATTCCAACTCTGCTCTTTATACTTTTGGGTAAAAGAT